CGCTCGCCGGCGGGGTACATGGCGGGGCCGCTGCCGCCGGGCGCGTACGGCATGGGCGGGCCCATGGTGGGGCCGGGGGGGCATGATGATGGAGGGCGCGCCGCCCGTGGGTCCCGGCGGCTACTACATCGTGGGCGGCGCGCCGCGCGGCGCGCGCGGTCCTGTGGCCCCGGGCATGGTGCTCATGCCCTACCCGCCCCCGCCGCCCATGGGCATGCCGCCGGGGGCGGGGCCACGGGCGGGTCAGGGGTACGCCGGGTCGGGGCCGCAGGCGGCGCGTGGGCCGCCGCCCCCCGCCGCGCCGGCCACCTCCGCGCCCACCTCCCCCGTCGCCGGGTGAGAGCCCTGCCTGGCCGCCGAAGTCTCGACCGTTGCATCGCATTGCTCACCACTGCACTGACCCGCGTGTGACGCAAGGGACGGCAGGAGGGCCGGGGAGGGTTGCTGCCGCGACCCGGAGCGGGGAGGCCCGGGGCGCGGCCGGGGCACTCCCGCCACCCCGATCCCATTATGAATACTCGTGTAAGGGGTTGCACGACGGGGTGGCCATCAGCTTGTCACGGGAGTGAGCGTGTGTGAGCGTATCGGCGAGTGAAAAGTCTGTAGAGAGGACCACGAGCGGACCTGCGCCCTCCAGGGTCGCCTTCACAGGCTCGACAGCAGGGGTGAGCGGATCGGGTCGACTCACGCGGGCGCAAGCAGAGGCCGTGCGCCATGGCCATCCAGAATGGCACACACACACCGGAGGACACCTCCACGACGCGGGGCATCCCAGGTGTGCACTGGAATCAGCCGGGAGGCCGTTGGCCGGGCGGATCACCTGCTTTGACGCTGTGCAGGCCCAATGTGATTCTAACCAACACCCACCCCATGATGTAGACTATCGTCACAGTGGGCCAATCACCCTGAAATATGTCAAGCGGGGTAAGCAGGGGGGTGGCGAGCAGGTGCAACACGCCGTAGACTTTCAAAAGTGCCGACACCTGTGCTCCATCCGATGGACCTTGCTCCGTGCGCGCCCTGCACCCTCGCGTGCCGCATGCCTCCCGTTCCGGCCGTTCATGCCGAATAGGGTCGCACGGTGGTCAATCCAACCCGCCCCACTGCAGGCTACCATGCCCTGTGCACCCACTTCCTCACCCTGGCCGCCGTCCCCCTGGCGGCAGTGGGTCTGGTGAGTGTGGCTGCAAGTGCCTCTGAACAGAAGAGACCCTGAGCAGATGTTGGGCGTTTCAGACCAGACATCTCCCTGCCATTCCTCATGCCACGGCCCGCCTCCCCAAGCACAGCTGGAGCTGGCAAACATGTACAAGCAGGGCGACCTGAACGACATGTGGGTGGTGGCCAAGCAGACAAACCTCACCTTTGACTTGGTGCGTGGCACTAGATGTGGCGAGGGGTCCCAAGGAGGCATGCATGCAGGGCGCTCGCTGGCATGGGGTGTGCCAGCGTTCTCGCTCGCCCCGCAGGGCCACCCAGGGAATGTCAGAGGAATGCGCAACGTGGCTTTGCGTTCAGATGGGTTTGTATGCTTGCAGTGGGCCTGGGCAGCGATGAGAATGTAAGGGTGCCGGTCACTTGGTGGAGGTGTCCTCACCCACCAGAGCATGCCTCACACTCAATCGTGCAGGTTTCCTTCATCGCCGGCTGCTCGCTGCTCATCTTTGCTGCCGCCGCCTACATCTTCACCCGGAAACGCCCGGTGTACTTGCTGAATTACCATTGCTTCAAGCCCAATGATAGGTGCATTGGGCTGGGTTGAGGGCCATCGAGCAAACTTGGGGGCCACGCTGCGTGCCTGGACCCAGGACCACCCCAGCCCAGCCCCTGTGCCTCTCCTCGACTCACCCTCCGCAGCCTCAAGGTGTCGTACAAGTACTTCATGGAGCACTCCGAGCGCATCGGCGCATTCACGCCCGAGAGCCTGGAGTTCCAGCGCAAGGTCCTGGAGAGGTCGGGGCTGGGCGAGGAGACGTACCTGCCAGAGGGTGCGTGGTTTTGTGGGGTGGGGTTGGAGGTTTGTAGATTGGGTTGTATTCATGTACACGGTCAGACACCTGTGCTGCCGTCCGTCCGTGGCCAAGCAGGTGGCATGCTTTGCACCAGCCCCTCCCTGGCGTGGCTTTGCGTGGCCTGTTTGTCACAAACCCTCCACCTGCCCCCCACCTGCCACTCAGCACAGCCGTGATGAAGAACCCGCCGGAGCCCACCATGGCGGCGGCGCGAGGGGAGGCCAACCAGGTCCTGTTTGAGTCGGTGGAGCGAGTCCTGGCCAAGACCGGCATCAGCCCCAAGGCCGTGGACATCCTGATCGTCAACTGCTCCCTCTTCAACCCCACGCCCTCCCTGTCAGGTGTGGTGATGGCTGGTCAAGGGACCCATGCCCCTTTGTGCTTGGTGCCTGAGACCCCCGACTTGCCTGTCTGTGTACCCCCCCCCTCACCACCACCACCACAACCACACACATACACACAGCCATGATTGTCAACCACTTTGGCATGCGGAGCAACGTGATCACCTACAACCTGTCCGGCATGGGGTGCTCCGCGGGCGTCATCTCGCTGTCCCTCGCGCGCGAGCTGCTGCAGGTGTACCCCCGCTCCACCGCGCTGGTGGTGTCCACGGAGAACATCACCCAGAACTGGTACTTTGGCAACGCCAAGTCCATGCTCATCCCCAACTGCCTCTTCCGCCTGGGCGGCGCGGCCATGCTGCTGAGCAACCGGCGCGTGGACCGCTGGCGTGCCAAGCTGGAGCTGCTGCATGTGGTCCGCACCCACATGGGCCAGGACGCCGCGCACTACGGCTGCGTGTACCAGCAGGAGGACGAGGCCGGGCAGCGCGGCGTGCACCTGTCGCGCGAGCTCATGCGCATCGCGGGCCACGCGCTCAAGGCCAACATCACCACCCTCGGCCCGCTGGTGCTGCCGGTCTCCGAGCAGCTGCTCTTCTTCCTCAACCTGATGGCGCGCAAGGTGCTGAAGCGCAAGGGCCTGAAGCCCTACATCCCGGACTTCAAGCTGGCCTTCCAGCACTTTTGCATCCACACCGGGGGGCGCGGCGTCATCGACGCCATCGAGCAGCAGCTGGAGCTGGGCACCAGGAACGCCGCGCCCTCGCGCGAGACGCTCCACCGCTATGGCAACATCAGCTCCGCCTCCATCTGGTGCGTGTGCGTGTGTGTTGGCTTTGGGGGTGGTTCTGGTAGGTTTTCTCAATGACTCGTGCAGCCTCACCGTGTGTGGACCCCATTGTCACTCTGCCCTCTGATCCCCCACATGACGTCCCTCCCCTCAAACCCCACTCCCCAAAAGGTATGTGCTGGCCAACATTGAGACCAAGCAGGGCCTGCGCAAGGGCGACCGCATCTGGCAGATCGCGTTCGGGTCGGGTTTCAAGTGCAACTCCGCGGTCTGGCGCGCGCTGCGCACCTGCAACGAGCAGCACGGGGCGTGGGTGGAGGGCGGGCAGGCGGGCGGCAAGGCCGTGTGAAGGTCGCCTTCAGTCGGGGGCCGCCAGGACCTGGTGCGCCCTGTGCTGCGAGAGTGAGGGTCATGAGACCGATTTTTTCCACGACCCAAGGCAATGTCTCACACTGTGTGTATTGAGATTCGTGCGTCGACACCCAAATGCACGTCTGAAAGCTGCAGGCCGAGCACAGCCAGCGAGGGTGATCCAGGGGTGGGGTGCAGGCAAGTGGTGTGATGCGCAGGGGTCCATGGGAGGTCCAGCACGTGCGACTGTTGGTCGTGCGCAGATGGCAATTCCAGCAGCGCCGCGTATGCGAGGTGCAAGGACCTGCATTGTTCTGGTTCGAGGCAGCTGCAGTCCTCAGGCAGGGAAGCAGGTGCTTCCCCCCTGCGTGCCGGCCGCACCAGAGATATTCCAAGCCCAGGGACTCAGGTCATTTGTAGTACTCCCAGGTAGTCGCCCTTGATGTCTCCCACCGCAAACTGTGGGTGGGTTGGGGGGAGTTCACACTGCCTGATGCACTGAAAGCAGCGGCATCTTGGGCACATACCTTTGCTCATGCTCACTTCCAGACCGATGGCATCTCCTCCCGAAACCTGTGGCCGGCTCTTCCACATGTAGATCGCTCGTGTGGCACTCCCCTGCACCACCGTCTGAGCCACAGAAATCCACAAGCGTTGCCCACCGACTCACAATCTCGTTGGCATCGATGCGGGTGCCCACGATCCTCAACCGCACATCGGAGGCGGCGGCTATCCTCTGCTCCCCATCCGGGGTGGCGTAGCACGGCTCGTGTATGCTGGAGAACTCAAAAGCCTCCGGGATCAAATGGTTGGACACGAAGACCTGAAGCGGTCCCGCCTCCGCAAAGAAGCCCATCTGTGTCATTGGGCGGGGGTGTTGGCGGTGGAGAGGGACTCACCCACGGCAATTTCCTTGCTGCGTCGAAGTCAGTCTTGAGCCAAGATCCCACGGGAGCAGCCAATAACAAGTAGGAAAGAGAACTTCAGTTCTCATTTACCCCCTACCTTGTTCACTGTGGTCACTACCACGTCCAGCACCTCCCCCTTGTGTGGCTTAAAGGTGATGCACTTGTAGGTGACATTGAACACCGCCGATCCAGCACCCTCGCGGATTCGGGCCTTTCCCAGGCTCTCCAGGTTCAGTACTGCCAACACAAAGCCATATATGCCGCTGCAGGTACCCTCAACCTGTAGTGATCCGTCTCATCGGGCATTGTGTTGCAAGACTGGGCAATCCGAGCATGATAGTGAGGCCTTGCATCCCTCCCAGACCGCTTACCTCCTGTCTGAGGCGTTTCTCTACTTCTTGCGCTAGTTTTGGCCCAAAATGCCGCGGCTGAACCTCCAGCTCCCGGTTCAACTCCAGCAGGTAGAACATGGTGGGTGCGCCAGGGGCGCGGTGGGCCACCGGGGCACCCCTGTCTGACAAGTGACTGGTGGAAATAACGCAATGTGTACCTCTATGGTATAAATGAGCTAGGGCTGAAGCCGCTCGAACGCAGAATGTGAGTCTGGAGGTGTCACTATGGTTCCGGGTGATGGACCAATGCAAGGTTTTCCCACTCGCGCCCAACTCGTATGGGGTGCTGTAGACTCACAAACTGCACGATTTCGATATGCAGTCTGAAAGATTCCTGATCCGAGCTCTTAATCTCAATCTTTCCATCTGAAGCATCCACCACCTGGGCCACTGGCAAGCGTAGCGGCCAGCCGGGGTGCCAGCCAACGGCCCCACCCGCTGCATTTGGTCGTTCCGCAGCAGCACCCAGACCATGTTATAGTCCCAGGGAGTCCATTCCATGTCTCGCATTGCTAGGCGCATGCTGCGTGAGCCCTGGGCTCCCCCCCATCCGACCTGGCCAGCATGGCTGAGGGGGGGCCCTGTGCCAGCCCTGGCCGCCTACCTGTCACACGCCCTGCACAGTGCGGCCCCCAGCGGCGCGGCGAGTCCGGCTGCGTCCCCTGACCTGGCTGGATCATCCACCGCCGGCCGCCTCGGGTCCCGAGGGGCAGGCTCCGGCCCGGAGTCCGCCGGCCCTGTCCATGCACGCGCTGGCTCTGGCCCTCGGCCATCCAGCCCAGGCCCCGCGCCCACTGGCGTAAGACCTGGGACCGTCAGTTACTCCAGGGCCCAGCCCCTGCGTGCCGTGGACGTCATCAGGGGGTCGCTGCGACGCGTCGCGCAGTCTGCAGGCAGCCCTCCACGTGCCAATGCAAGGGGCGGCGCCCGTGGTCCTGAGCAGGGGCCGCGCCGCCCTGCCCCAACACAGTCGAGCACAGAGCGGGTGACCTACGAGCGCATCCGGGCGCTGGCCCAGGCCGGGGATGTGGCCGGATGCCTGGGCCTGCTGGACCGACCGGGTGCCAGGACCTGTGACTTCAACGCCGCGCTGCGCTGGCTGTCCCCAAGGAAAGCGCGGACGGTGCTGGGTGCCATGCAGGCCAGGGGAGTGCCGACGGACAGCAACACGGCACGGTCCATGATAAACATCCTGCGTGGCTCCAGGCCGGAGCTGGATGCGGCCATGCACCGGCTGGTGGACCTGCGGGATAGGGGGGCCCTTCCCCACAACTTCGTGGTGCCCTACTTCTACTGGTACGGGTTGTTTATGTCGAGGTTTCCTTGAGAACAGGGGACAAAGGTCGTGCAGGCGGTGGGCCTGGTACAAGACCGGCTACCATGTGTGTCCACTGGCCACAAATGCTCGCGAGGCTCCAGGCCACTGTGCCTGCTTTGTGATGCGTCTGGTGACTCCCTGACAGTCTTGTGTTTATCTTGTCGACGCAATACTTCTGGTCTGCCCTGCATCGCCTGCCTGCCCAGCGTCCGCATGCCCAATTCTGCGCCCCTGACGCCTCGGTGCAGCCGGCCACGGCTGGACCATCCGGCGCCAGTCTCGTTTGCTCACCTCATGTTCCCCCCTTCCTCCCCTACACTCAAACCCTGCAGGGCCTCGGTGCATGCCGACGCCGGGGACGTGGAGGGCGTGCTGCGTGTGATGTGGGCGCTGCAGTCGGGCCGGCACCCGGCCCCCATGCAGAGCCAGTACGTGACGCTGCTGGTCAAGGCCTACGGATACTCGGGCAGGCATGTGACCCCAGGGGGGTGGGAAGTT